GGGGGGGGGCGCATACACGCTTTATGTTCCGCCAGCTGTTTCCGTTGGAAACTTCAAGGTTCAACCAGGGCGTTCGCAACCGGTTAGTAGCAGCTGGGCGAAGAAGTTCTCTGCGTCGAATCTTTAGCCGCTGACTGGATTGAGCGTGAGGCTTGCTGGCAATTGCCTTATCCAAGTCTGCCCGCTCAGGGGTCCAGAACGGGGATTGACGCCAATTGCCCTCCGGCACCCCCCGCGGCGTATTGTGGAAAGCCGTGTCCCAGAGGCGGCGTGCTTCCCCACGGTGTCTATGCGATTCATGCCTCGTTTTAGCCTGCAGTGTGAGTCGGTGAGTTTGCGGAACTTTGACCAGTTTGCTTTCTTCCATAAAAGCAAGGTCTTGTTGACCTTCTGGACTTCTAGTGGGGTGCCGTCCTCTTCCCCACCTGGACGGCAAAAGTGATGGTGTGCTGGTCGCTGTCCGGGGNTCTTGTTGACCTTCTGGACTTCTAGTGGGGTGCCGTCCTCTTCCCCACCTGGACGGCAAAAGTGATGGTGTGCTGGTCGCTGTCCGGGGTGGGTTGTGCTGTCCAAATTGTCACTATGCAATCCTTTGCCAGTGTGACATCTGGCGCGGAGCCTCTATGCCTATCGGCGTGCCGTGTCCTATTGCCAGTGTTGGCAACAGGAAATTCACCGCCAATGCATCATTGTACAGCGGCATCATCTCTGGAATCAAACGGGGCTTTGTGGCCCCATGCCATGCGTCTGCATCGGCGCGCGCGTCTATGAGCTACGGCCCGTCCGTGTTGTTGGGTCTATCAAGGTCCTCTGGGGTGTTTTTGATTGCGGCAGGACGAAAGGTATACTGATGAAATCGCCAGCCCCATACCTGATTCCAGACGGGCGGTCACTTGCGCAAACCCAATGCCTGCAACAAGAGCCGGTCCTCCCCCTACCTTTACCCCATCTCTGATGAGGTTTGCACACCCCCACCGCGACAGGTGCGAGCTATCTCATGGCGTTGGTGCCCTAGGGGCCCGAAACTAGCTGTTTAAGGCGTGGGGCATTTTTGCCCCACCCAATAAACAAGAAGTTATGTTTTCATTATAGAGCCGTTTGCCCAACGCCAGGCGTTTGGCTTGTGTTAGCCCTGCTGGGTTCCATCGCGCGACCATCGAGGTAGGGCCCGGATTCTCTTCGACATTTCCGTTGGGCAGTTGCTTGGTGCGGGTGGTGCTGCTTATGGCGCGGCAACGCGCACCCCCAGATCGACGAGGACAACAACACGCCCGTGCAAAAAGCGGCCGGCTCTCGCACCGTTCGGTGTCAGAAGCCTGGCATCGCAAAGTTTACAAAATAAAGCACTTTGCTGCCGATTGGCTTCGCGGGGCAGTGCGGGGTGCTGGGCCTTCGTTCCACGTTGGGGCGGCCGTCAGTGCCACGGGGTGCGGCACATTATTGGAGAATGTTCCGGACGCCGCGCCCCCCACCATAAACAAAAAACGCCCTATTCTTTTCGGAGGGCCACAGATGAAAACATTAGCAATCCGCGAACGGATTTGCAACTGCGGTGGTGTCGCGGGCCGCGGTTTTGCCGCCCTAAAACGGCCTAGGGGCACCACAATAAGGGGTGGGCGGCCGGGCCCCGCAGCGGCCCAAAAAGAGACGCCGCTGCCCCAAGTGCGCCCCCCCCGTTTCTTTATTTTCCTTCGGTGGGGCGGGCCGGAAGAAAGACGACCCAGCCCAGGCGGAGCGGCGGGGCCGTTATGATCGGCGTTTGGCGCCTTGGTGCTTATCATCTGGGCCCCCGTGCCGCAATCACCGTGGGCGTTTATCGGCCATGGCCGCGCGACAGCCGCTCTTCTTGGCCCGGCGCCCCGCCAAACAAAGGTGCCGCTTTGCTTGGTTATGGGCGTTGTTTGGCATTTTGCTGACCAAGTGGTGCCGCAGGAAAATTCCATCATACACATGTTTTTTTTTTTTGAACCCTGCAAAAGCAATGGCTAAGCCTTACCCAACTTGCCAATAGGAGACCCCATAATTCATTTTCATTCTTGTCTTTGATCTTAAGTGGTAAGAAAGTGTCGCAAAGTGTAAGGTTTTGAAATGAAAGGCAAGCCAGAAGCAAGCAATGTCACCCACAAACCCCCAGCTGGCCCTCATGGACGTGGAAGGGATGACGGGCATGACCGCTCCCAGGGCGTTCGTCGAACATTGCGGACGGACCCCGTTTTCGTTCGAGTACAGACCGAATTTCAGTGCGCAGGTCAATCGAGCCAAGGGCATATTAACAGTCAAGCACGGTGAACTTACCTTTTCTCTGGAGAATTGTGCAAAAAACAGTTTCGTTTCTTTACGGCACCCCACGGTGCCTTTTAACATGCCAAAGAACAAGAACTTTCTTAAGGCTTTTGACGATGCACGGGCGACCTTTCGAACTGAGTGGATGGCACTGGAAGAAAGCAAGTCAATACTGTATCAGCAGTATGAAATAGCAAGGACATAACTGGCTGAGGAAAACTTAAAGATCCAGCAGGACGCTTATGCTCAAACGCTGGGATCACATGATCGAATCAATCAAACGCAGCCTCAGATTAACACGTTGGAATCTCATAAAACCTAGTTGTGCGATGAAAACAACCAAATGCAAGCTTAGATCCATCGGATGCAGTCGCGGTTCGCCCATAAAGAAAAACAGACGGGACTGACAGCGCAGCGGGCTTCACCAGAGGGTGAAAATGACTTTAGTCCACTAGGCGTTCACACCGTTACGCATACTGCCAGATGGGCGGGCATGCCAAACGGCCAGATACTGAGTTGGGGGCTCAGCCCCAGGTGGGTTTGCGAGGAATTAATGAGCTCACCAATAAGTTCGTGGAAAGAGGTTTCCGACCTGAAGAAAAAAACAGGACTTTTGAGGGCGCTTTGGAGTATTTATTGGAGGCCTCCCTGGAACAGTTTCTGGCGGCGTATCGTGGTCTTTTCCCCTTGCCCATGAAACCTGGATTTGATCTCTGCCAGCCGTGGGGCAATTTTGTGGCATGGATTTATGCTATCCGCCACGAGGGCATGCCGGCTGAACAATCACAACTGGGCAGACGTTTGTATTATCAGCTTCGGGTGGCTCAGGCGGCGAAGGAAAACCCCGGAGTCAACATCCAAACTCTTGCCAATGCCATCAGCAATCCCAGAAAAGAAAAAGACCCCGTTTTTCAGGCGGTTCAGAAAGCGAAGAAACATTCCGCCC